AATTAGAATTAATGTTATATATACTTACGCATTTTTCAAAAATTTGTTGTACATCTTCTTTAAGAACTTCATCCTTACCCACACAGGCAGCCTTCCACAAAACATGCTCCGGAAGAGATGTTTCCGAACTACTCTCCTCTTTTAACTACACATTAACACAAAAAACAAGCTCAGTTATAACTATTGATGAATAAGTATATCATTTCAATTTGTAAATACTTACTATTTTTTGTTCTAATCGTGCATATCCCAAACGCCCTTTTTTGTATGGATATGCGGGAGATGATGCTCTTAGACGATTTACTTCACTTACACTCTGAAATTTTGGGGTTTTCCGTTTGGCTTTAAAAACATCCCATTCTTTAACTGAAATCACATCCGCATATTCTGCTGGACGCTCTGCATCAACAAATTTTTTTTCGGCATCTCTAAGATATTTTCTGTTTAAATATGTTCTAAACCCTCTTAGTATTTTGCCGGCCAATCCAAGACAATAATCTTTTCTTTTGTCATCAATGTTGAAAGACCTCTACAAAAAACATACATAAAGTGCGTTAGTATAAGTAATTTAAAGACATAATTTAAAGTACATAATCGTAACTTAAAGACATAATTTAAAGCACCTGTATCTCACTCCAGATTTTGTTTTTAGCATCATTCAGCTTATCATCTCTCCACTCATCACAAGTTATTGGAATTTCTCTCCTTACAAGTGTGCCAATGTAACTTGTCAATTTAGAACCGTTAGGCTCAATTAATTGGTCATTTGGACTCCAATGCACATCATATTTTATACCCCTATCTCTATTACGAATGATATTCTTCATAATAGTTTTTCCTCTTTTTATTTCTTTTTCCACTCCCTTACTGGATTTTCCTCCATCATTGTCTCCATCATTAATAGAATCATCGTGAGGGTGCTCCTCCTCACTAGCCATCTAACCTGTAATAAAGAAAAACATTAGTATCTAATGACAAATATTTAATTCCAAATATATAATTCCAAATATCTATTCAGTATATAAAATGACAAATATCAATTGAGTATATAAAATGACAAATATCAATTGAGTATATAAAATGACAAATATCAATTGAGTATATACAATGACAAATATCAATTGAGTATATAAAATGACAAATATATAATTTATTAGAAGTTTGCTAAGTGTTAACAGGTATGGAGGAATATATATTACCTCTTTCACTAACATCTCTTTCTTTTCTTGGTTGGATTCTGAATTACTTGTCTCTTAAGAACGCGGACGGAGGGATTGATCCAAATTCCCTCATCATGATCTTTTCTGATATATGATTCATCCGCTGTAGTATCATCATCTCGATCGTTTCTAATATACGACTCATTCTCAACATCAACATCAACTTGATCCACACTTTTATCATCAATCACTTTGTTAGATAAAAGCACTATAGACCATTTCGTACTCTTCGGGTCTGTGACATAGAACACTTGTTTAGCTTGAGAGGCTAGAATAAAAGGCTCATCTTTGTACCCCACCCTACTAAGATCCACTTGCAAAAACCCTGACTTATCCATTCGTATGCCACTAGTATGTACCCACTTGCAACCAAAGATAGGAATCTGAAACTTCTCGTAATCAAACACCCAGATGTGATTGATAACCCTAAAATATGACAAATTTTCATATTTGGGGTGTAAGTCCTTCATACCAGAAATGTGCATTGCTTCACATACCACCGTGACACCACTATTTTGCATGGTACTTTTCTCATCTTGTTCTTTGGTATAAAATGTGTATCCATTAATTCCGTATCCTCTATAAGAGAACACAATCGAACTTGGACCATATGCCAAACATCTCAACCTGTCTGATATTGAAGCGGGATCTGAATGAAACTTTGAATATATATGATCCTTAAACCACTGTATAAAACTTTGATTGTGCTCTCGTACTATCCAATTTTCATTTCTACTTTGATTCTCACCTCGGAGTATAGCCTTGTGCATTTCAACAAACGGCTCAACCTCAGTGTCATTGTGCAGAACATACAAATGCACTTGATCCCGTTCATCCCTTGATACTGTCACAATTTCATTTCCAATTAATTTTTTACCTTCTTTTTTTTCAAAAAAATGAGATTTGGGGAGTCCAATGGATTGAACATTGGACAAAAAATCAGTATAAAACTCAACGACTTCTTCAAAAACGTATCGCTCAACGATACAACCCTCTGGACGACTTCGGTTTTTCACGTACCCTTTTAATATTTTTATATAACGTTCAACAGGGTACATCCATCTCATATAAGCTGGTCCACACAATTGTGTATCTTTCATAAGATGAACAACAAGATGTACCATAATGTCAAAAAATGATGGAGGAAAATACATTTCAAGGTCACATAGAGTAATAACAATTTATTTTTGTAATACTGGTAAGATCTCAGGATCGATCACCTTACTACAAATTGACCTGGAAAAAAAAACACAATTTAGTTATAGCGCTTCTTACTTTTTCTGGCAAAATAGAACGTATACCTATTGGTAGAAAATGTTCCATTATGACATGGCAATCATGTGTATTCAGACTCTTTAACTTGAGGTCTTTCATGGACACGAGTCTTCTAATGTCTGAGGAGTAACCTTCTGGAACTTTAACTTCACTCAGAAACTTACACAATATTTTCTTTTCCTTTCTAGATAGAGTATAAGAAGCAGGTGGTAGATATGTTCGTCTTCCTTTCTTCACGGGTCCTAATTCAGTTCTTATTCCCATCTCTACCATGTCCTCTCTTGCTTTAAGGCCATCCTTAGAATTTCCTTTTATATTGAGTAACGTACCAATAACACTTTCAAATACATTTTTTTCAATATGCATAACATCAAAAAAATGTCTTACGTACAAAGATTTCCAATATGGCAATTCAAAAAAAATTGACCTCTTCTTCCACCCACCTGTGACAACTTTATGTGCAAAAGGCTTGCCAAACTGAATACTCACATCTTTCACCTTTTCACAAATTTGATCACCTGTCAATCCAGGTGGAGCTCTACGTTGTTCGGTATTTCCATTGAACGCTTTTCTCCATCCACGATATTGATGTTTTGAATTTAAGAATCTACGATGACCGAGAAAGACATTCTTTTGACAAAGTTTCAATCGTGTCGTATCGGTTCCATCTTCACAGACAGGACACGCTTTTTCACCTTTAATGCTATACCTTGATAGATTTCCATATGCTGGAAAATCGTTAATTGTGCCAAACAACATCGCCCTAAAATTGAAACTTTCTTTCCTATATCTATCATAAACCTCCACACCGTTCTCCCACAAAATCTTCAAATCTTCGATTAAAGGTTTCAAGTATACATCTATGTCATTCCCTGGTTGTTTAGGCCCAGAAATTAACATAGATAACATCATGTACTTGCACTTCATACATAGCCATGGAGGTAGGTTATAAATCATAAGAATCATAGGCCATGTGGAATGTGAGATACTTTGAAGACCATGCGGGTTCATTCCATCCGTAGGTAATGCCAAGAGAAGGTTTCTTGTTTCTCCTCGAAAATCAAGATAATCATTACCAATTTTCTTCCACTGTGGTGCATCTGCCGGATGTCGAAACTTTCCCTCGATAATTCTTTCATCTGCATGCCAAGTCAAGTGTCTAGCATCGGTTTCACTACGAAACATGCGTCTAAATCTCGGAATAATTGGAAAATACCATAAGACTTTTGCTGGAGATAATTTTTTCTTATATCGAGATAAATTGCACTTTGGGCACTCATTCAACGATGCATATTCGTTGCGAAACAAAATACAATCATTTAGACATGCATGTATCTTATCATAGCTCATGCCAATAGAGCACAACATTTTTTTGGCCTCGTAGGTTCGATTAGGAAGAACATTATCCTCAAGAAGCATATCTCTCAAAAGGGCTAATAATTGTGTGAAACTTTTATCCGACCATCTATTGCGCGCCTTTAAGTTATACAATTTTAATACCGCAGACAATCTTGTGAATTTGGGGAAATCTTTATACAAAGATTTCTCCGCATCACTTACCAACCTCTCAAACATTTTGGGACAATCTTGAAGATCTTCTTCAAGTGCTTCTGCAATCTCTTCAACCCGATCACAATCATATGTATCTGTGGCATTGTCGTATGAAACATAGGTCGCATTACTTTTCACCCCCGGTTCAACATTCTCGATGCTTTTCTCACCATGAAATATCCAACACGTATAACTTCGATCAATTCCGCGCATTAGTAAATGCGATTTCAATCCATCTGTGTCAACCCGACCCACATAACAACAACCCAAGCAAGGACATTTCATTCTATTCGGGTCTTCAGCATGTTCAACAACAAACTTAACGAACTCTAATACCCCATTCTCGTACTCTTTTGACAATCGATCGACACACATCCATTTTTTATCCATGGTTTTAACTATTATCTAAGTTAAACAAAAACACTAATTAGGGCACAAAACGGTATAATGCGGTGGGAGTACAATGAATTTAAAGAGTCTGTGTTGTCAACAAAAATCAAACATGTGATTAGAACAATTCTAGAAATGAGGATTGTTGTGGTCCTATAACATATTCAATCAATGATTGTCAACGTTACAATTTTAGAGACATTAGCTTAGTTGTAAACTCATTCGAAGATTCATGATTTGTGTTATTTTTTACTATTACTTACTTGAACATAATAATTTTGCAGATCCACTCCACCCTACCGTATCGGTAGTTTACTCCACTATATATTTGAGCTCAAATCCGTTAAATCGACACCTATATCTACCTTCCTACATTTTCATCTACCCATTTTGTATTATAAATAATCCCACTCACTTGTTCACACTCACACATCTCAACCACATAAGACTCTGAATTTCTCTTATCTCTCTTCTAGTGAGTGTCACTCTAGTTAATTTTCACATAACATATTGATATAGTTCTATTAATTAAATTTGTTCTCTATATTTCTCTCTGATAGTAAGATGAAGCCATCATTTGCAGCTCTTCTACTTGTGTGTCTTATTCTCTCCTCATCTATGTTTGAAATCACAGCACTTGGTGTTGGTATGTTCAAACCTCATTTTCTAGATGTATTACTCTATAATTAGTTATTATTACATTTTTTTGTTTAATAATCTAATGGATGAAATGTCGCGGGTTCGAACTTGTGTCCTGCAGTCAGAAGATCCTGCATATATAGATATTAACTAAGCTGGTTTAAGGAGACTTTACTACTTTATAAACTTAATTAACAATAGTAACTATTAATTGATGGATATGAATCAGGTGCAGGTAGTTTCTGCTCGGCAAAATGCAGACAGAGGTGCTTGAAAGCTGGGAGGAGAGACATGTGCTTGAATTTATGTGGAATTTGTTGCAGTAAGTGTAAGTGTGTGCCATCAGGGACATATGGTAACAAACATGAGTCTCCTTGTTACAGAGACATGAGAAACTCAAAGGGAAATCCAAAATTCCCTTAATTCACTTCTTCAATACCATCTTATGAAAGATAATTGGTCTTCGTAGTTGATCAGTTTTTATCAGAATGGGAATAAATATGGGATCTCTATGTATGCGTAATGTGTTAATCAGGCTCTATGCTGTTTTTTTAGGTAATAAAACTAGTACTTTCATTCTCATTATTTTGCTTCTTAATCTCTTCTTAACTAGTGCTGTTTGTGTCGGTTTTGAAGTAACATTTATTCCACTCACATATAAAATTGTTTAGTAACATAACAATAAAATATAGAAAGAAACAACAAAGTGATGTAACAAAATGAAGGAGTAGAAGTAAAAATTAATTTTAGTCTTATATAAACGATGCTATAGTCTATTATTATTACAACCATTATTCAAACAAATAACAAAAAGAGAACTTTCTCTTTGTTAATTTTGTGAGAGTGAGTAAAATGTCAGGCATGGTAGAGGTGTGGATAGGGAAGCTAGCCAAGCTGAAAGAGAAAGTTGTGAGCAATAAAACCAAATCCAAAGAGGGTTTTGAAGAAGAGGAAGAAGTAAAAAGAGAAGCTCAAAAGGAGACTACATATATATGCTCCTTTTGTGTAACAAAATTAAGCATATATGCAGTGTTAATATTTTATCTTGTTAATATGAGCCTTGTTAATATATATGCTCAAATTTATATCTTGGTTATGTGGTTCCTAGGTACAAGAAAATATGTAATCAACTCATATATGCAGTGTTAATATTGTAGTTGTTGTTAGTCATTTGCATGTATAATGTAATTACTTTTTTAACTGCTCCTTTTGTGTAACAACAAAGTAACATAATAATTTTTATACACATAGTTTAAACAGATTAACAAGAATTCAATATCTATAAGAAATACTTGTGATGAATCGTGTGAATGAATGAAAATGGATATATATAGATGAATAACAGAGAGGCCTGTTTTGGTACTGAGAGTTTAAGAAAGAAATGAAGAAGACCAGACTTTGTGCTTGCATTGAGTTAACCATAGAAAAAAATATAGAAGGATGAAGAAATTTTACCTTATAGTGAAACTGGTTTTGTGAAACTTCTTCTTCACGAGGAGATGGTGGTAACGAATCCGAAGCGAGTTGGAGAAGAAGATGAACCACGTGCCTCGTATAACCAGAGAATCCGAAGCTTGCAATGATACAACGAATCAGGAAGCGAGTTGGAGAAGAAGATGAACCACGGTTGGACGGTGAGGAGGGAGGAGACGAGTTAGACGAAGATGAACAGTTGCGTGTGTGGGGTTTTGTTTGTATAAAGTGGGGTTTCTGATAACCAATTTAGGGATTTAGAAATTATTTAATTACCTTAGACAACGCTTTCAAGAAGCGCTGCTAAAGGTATTACCTTTAGCAGCGCTTTAGTGTAATGCCTTTAGCAGCGCTTCTTGAAAGTGTTGTCTAAGGTATACCCTTTATCACACCTTTAACAGCGCTTTTAGTAAGCGCTGTCTAAGGTATACCCTTTAGCAGCGCTTATTCTTTTTTTTTATTTATTGAAAACCTATAGCAGCGCTTAGGGAAAGGAAGCGCTGGCTATGGTAAAGCCTTTAGCAGCGCTTTTAGTAAGCGTTGTCTAAGGTATACCCTTTAGCAGCGCTTATTCTTATTTTTTATTTATTTTTATTGAAAACCTATAGCAGCGCTTAGGGAAAGGAAGCGCTGTCTATGGTAAGGCCTTTAGCAGCGCTTTTAGTAAGCGTTGTCTAAGGTATACCTTTAGCAGCGCTTACTCTAATTTTTTAATTTTTTTTCTTCTGAAAACCTATAGCAGCGCTTAGGGCATAAGCGCTGTCTATGTGGCGCTGTCTAAATTCAATTTTGGCATAGTGAAAGTATCTTTGGAAATTTTCTTAAGGGACTTGATCATTTTGTTTAGGCAACTCAGATAGCGTCATCGAGGGACTATGATCTTTTTGTTTGTTTTTGTTTTGCCAAAATACTTGACATGTAACCATGGCCCATTTTTGAAGGCAACAAGTGGATGGAACCCTAGGGGTGCAAGTGTCCATTGTGTTTGTTCTTCATGCATATTTATCTTGGATTAGGTCAAACTAATTGTTGATTTTATTTGCATACAAACCCTAGGTCTAGGCATGGCATAATTTGAAAGCTTTTAAATGTGCAGGAATTTAAATGCTACACTATTACAACATAATATAAGTAGGGAGTACAAATTTGAATTGGGGATATTTGACAAGAAATTAAACCCTAGATTACTATTACAACCAAATTGAATGTACAAGATACAATATTTAAATATACAATAATTAAATAAAAATACAACAAATAAATATTAAATAAAATGTATTATGCCAAAAAAGGTTTTTTTATGTATGTAAAGTATTTTTAGTGGAAAGAAATGTGAAGAAATAAATAAAAAAAGTCAATTTAATTATTTTTGTTTTTAGGGCAAAAACCCTAATTTCTTATAATGTATTTATTTATGTATAAAAATATATTAACATGTATAAAAATGAAATATATTCAAAAAGGTTATTTTTAGTATAAATATCAATAAAAATATAATATAATATTTTTTTGTGTTTTATTTCTAAGTATTTGATAAAAACAAAAGTATATATGTATATATAGATATATTAAATATGTTAAATATGTAAAAAAATAAAATAAATAATTTACAAAAATAAAATATGTTCAAGAAAATGTTTTCAATGTGAAAAAAAATGAGAAATGAAATAAAAGTATTATTTTCATTATTTTTAAATTTAAACAAAATAATATAAAAATATATAAAGTGTTTTAATGCTAGTAAAAATAAAAATAAATACCAAATAAATGTAAAAAAATATAAAAATATTTTGGATCATTTTTTATGTTTGAAAATAAAATATCAAAGTCAGAAAAGAAAAGAAAAATGCAAAAATATGAAAATGCAAGAAAATGGGTCAGGGGGGTGTGAAACTGAAAGTGGGGGGTGCCAAAAGTAGGAAGCAGCCAGGCCCAACCCAACTACTTCATCTTCTTCCTCTGTCCAACAGAAACTTGAAAAAAATGCGCGCTAGCTACACCAATCTGTATCTCCTGATTCTTTGATCTTTTGACAAAACTCAAAACATGAAACTTGTAGAGCATCAAATAACGAATCTAACCATATAAAAAACTTGGATTAACTCTCAAAGACCAGTGAGAATTTCTCTGGCCCTAAATTCTAACCTAGTTTTTTCAGAAAGTTCATGAGTGAAATTGTCTCAGCACGATTAATGTAAATGAAAACTAAGCGTATGTATGGCTTCAGGGCTATGAGTACAACATATTTCATTCACAAACCTAAGCCTAACCATTCCTAGATAGGGAGATAGAAGTCCATGAAATACCTGTTTCAGTTGACTTTGAGCTGGACAATGCAACAACCTTCAATGGTGTTTGAGCTTCTCTTGAGCTTGCCTGAGGTCCAAGGAAGCTTCTCCAATGCTTGGCTTGCTTTGAAACAACTTGAATCGTGCTGTAGAACTCAACCTGCAGAGCTTTGAAATGAAAATGGAAAAGTTTGTTAGAGGTGTTACAGCTTGCAATGGGGGCCTGGGATAGTGCAGGTGAGTTGATTGGAAGGTGTTGGAACTATCTTGGGACAAAACGCACGATGGAATTTTGTTGTGCCTTGCAAAATGCAGAACCTGCCCTGTTTTGCAGAAAAACAGTGATTCTGAGTATGAGGAGGTTTTAGTGATGAAAGGGTCGTGCTTTAGGCTTGTTGGGAGGTATGGAACTTGTTCACAAAGTTCTTGTAAGCTTGTGTTAACAGATATGAAAGATTTTTTATGTTTTTCCACTTTTCTTCTACTTGAAGCAAGAGAATGGAAATGATGTTATAGCCCTGTACAAGCCCTCCTATCATGCTGCAACTTTTGTTCTTGGTTACTGGAATTAGTGGACTTGGTCTTGCCTCAAAGATCTGGCCCCCATGCCTCAAGGATTTGGTTTTGACATAAAGTGAAATTAGGCAAAAATGGCACTGTTGCTTTTTCCTTTTAAGGCTTAAACTAGAGTATAATGCCCTAATGACTAAGACAATACCTTAATACAATGGATATACATTAAATTAAGGAGTAAAAATTGGTTTTGAGGCTTGTAATGTTGAACCAAGCTATCTAGATCAGAATTGCAAGTTGTTATGAACATGTATTGATCATGGACAAAAGTGAGTTTTTTCCAACTTCAAGCATTCGATTCTCTCTAACCACAAGGGTGTTTGAGGAGTTCTTGGACAATTTGGAAAGATTGGAACATGTACTACAATCCATCTTTGTAATTCAACTTGAAATTCTAAGTGGAACTATGTGAAAAATGGCCAAGAAGATGGGTCAAAATCTTGCCTAGATTAGGGCAAATTTTCTCTAAGTTAAAAGTTTTAGGTACCCTTGTTCCAAAAAACATAACTTGAGATACAAGCTTCTTTTGAGAAAACTTTGTGAATAAAAGTTGTAGACTTTGTGATGGAATACAACTTTCATGTTGCAAGTTTTGTTTGAATCCATTTTCATCTTGGTGAAAAAATGGGACAAAGTTAGGAAAAAATAAGAAAATTTCATAACTTAGAAAATTTCTAAGTTATGAAAATTTTCCATTTTAAACCCTAATTTGCATTTTTGGGTTTCTTGATGAACAAGTTTCATAATTTGACATGTCTTGATGAAAAATAACTCTTGGCACTTGATTTTGACCAAAAAGTCAAAGTTTGACTTTTCAGTATACAGTCAAATTTTGATCAGTTGACTGAAAAATTCATCTGTCAATCCTATGCACTTGAGATCTTTTGAACTTTTTTAATGGGTCAAGACAGTGCCATTGAGTCCTTGAGCCCATATGTGAGCTTAGTTTTCCATTGGTTAGGTCAAACAGTCAAAAATTGCCTTTGTGCAATCAAAGCCCTAAAGATGACCATTTTGCCCTTTTGGTGATCTGATCAATTTTCTTGTGGAATTGTGATCCAAACTTGATAAAATGGTTCATATGAGTTC